CCTTGCATTCATATCAGTATTGGTGTGCTCTTTTCTGCAACAAATAAAGCTTTTTGTCTGTTACATATTGCATTGTGTATTGTGTGCCTTCCTGCATTGCATTTATGGTGCCATGATTCTCAGGGTAGAGCACAAATATATATGCAACCTCCAATTGGCTTTCTAGATTAGATTATATATGCACTCTATCATAAACCTTTGTTCTAACCTTTCTTGGTAGTATGCCTCTGATATGAAGATCTTCCTTACTACATGCCTTGCTGACTGTGCTAACATTTTTGCTTGGTTAACACAACTGCCATAGGTAGTGCAAAGTGCATCCTCTCCTTGCACTTTTCTTTGATGGGATGGGAGTTCTCGCAAATCACAACCTAGCTCTTGTTCCCAGAAGAAGAGGCTTGTCAGAAGGAGTTCCCATTTGTATGTCGACATGAGGCTAGTGAAGAGAAAAAGGAAATATGCATAGTGTCCTTTGCCCTTTGCCCTTGTACAGTCTTATGAATGTTTCTACAATGATTACCAAGCACTTTACCATGTTTGTTCTCACACCAGCATTGTTTTGTGCACCGCAGTACACCGATAGCAATATAGATCAATTTAAGAAGCACTTTTTATTGTAAATCAGTAACTCATTTCATTTGTTTAATAGTGGTTGGACTTGAAGTATACAAGGTTTCCGGTTTCATGTAAATACTCAATGAGAAGAGGGAATATAACCTTTTTGTAAGTGATAGAAATTTGCAGGACATTAAAGGAATAGATTATTCATTTGTTCCTGGAAACCTAGTAGTTGCATTAAAACCTGTCCTTCCTACAGTACCATTACCTGTAATGTTCCACCTTGTAGAGTTGTAAATTCAAGCATCTCTCTTGTGGAGAATGAGTTTTTACTGTGTTTTGTTATCAGCTGTTTGTGGATTGAGTAGTCTGATGTACATACTAAGATTTCATATGATTTTTTGTCTTCAAAGGGAATTGTTACACTTGCTATAGGTTTGAGGCGTCGGGATGGTGTGCTGGTGGTGTGAAGCGAGAGAGTGCAGCAGCAGCAGCAGCAGCACCTGTGGCACCAGCACAGAGGTGTTGGCCAGATGAGCAGCACCTCCCCCGAACCCCCCCCAGGAGTCCAGCCTGGGGGGCCGGCTGGGGACCAAACAGGCGGACCCCAAACCTTGGCTCACTCTCCACAGAAAACCCCTCAATCACAACACAGGTGATTTTGTCTTACTGTTTATAATGCAATAGTTATAGTCATTGATACTGATAGTTCAGTCTTCCATTTAAAAAAACAACTGAGGATTTATTTTTCCCCAAGCACAAATACCATTTGCTCTGTGACATAGCCATACTCTCCAAACCTCCATGGAATATAATAAAGCTCACTCTGCATTACAGCATTGAGGGGGAGACAGTTGGAGGAGCTGAGACTTGTGGCCGCCTGGACCCTCGGCCACCTGTGCCAGGTGGTGAGGACGTCCCGGGGCAGCACCACTTCCACCACGGAGAGTGGGCGAAGGAGAGCCTGGAGGACTGGGGCAAGCCTGGCCAGTGCCTCTCTCCTGAAGCCCCACTCCCCATCCACTCTCCTTGTCCAGGTCAGCAGCACCATGCTTGTGTCAATTGAAAACTGTGGGGGAGAAGTGCATTATCGAGATCCAAAAGGCATTTGATTGGTTTATAACAATTTCAATTAATTTATGTGGTTTTGCATTTACTTCTTAGAATTTATTGTATATGTGAAATCTCTTTGAAATACCTTTCCATGAAGGATACAATGTTTTGAAATGTGTGTCTCAGGTGAAGGCGGGGGTGATGGGCCAGCATTGGCGGGGGGCTCCGTGGAGGGAGGTTCACCCTGCTTTGGTGGGGGGGAGGGAGGCTCCACCCCACCTGTCATCCGCTGGTCGTACTCACTGCCACAGCTACTAGAAGATTCCCAGGGAGTGCAGCTATTCCAGGAGTTCCTGAAGGAGGAATGTGGCTCTTGTGAGTCGCTCCACTTCTGGTTCGCTTGCAATGGCCTCAGGAAATCCACCCAGGATCCCTCCCAGCTTGTCACCATCATTTGGAAGCGCTTTATTAGGAACTTCGTCGTGAGGGTCTCTGAAAAGACCTACAAGATTGTCAATGACCGCATAAATGCTCGCAGCATTGACCGGAATATTTTTGACGATGCCCAGAGAGAAGTAAGTGCATAGCTAAAGGAGTTTTCTAAGGTTTTTGTTCACTTGACTTTGTTGACTTCATATTGTTAATTTATTTATTTGATTTTTTTTTTTTTTTTTTTTTTTTTCTATTAAAAAAAATATATATGCTGTCTGATTGATAATTTTACCATTATTACATAGTAGTAGTATTACACAGGGAAGTTTTGTTTTTTTACTTATTTTGATTGTAGAAGGGAAAATAGTCATATGAGTTTTGTAGGACACAGTATATCATGCAGTATTATATGTTGTATTAAAGTACTAATCCTTAGTATAAATGTGTGCAGGTGGAAGACGAAATTGCCCGTAGCACGTACCCAAGTTTCTTGAAGAGCGAGCGCTACCTATTGTACCTAGATGCTGCCTCACAGCAGGCAGGTGGTGCAGGCACCGACTCCCCCCATACCCCTTCCCCTGGTAGCCCAGGGAATGGAGGGTCCGGGGCCGGGACGGGAGGTGTCCTACCCACCTTGCATGAGGACTGTGAATTTGAAGGCACAGCTGCCACAGGGCACATCCGCCTCACACAGGGAGCCCTGGCTGCCACAGTCAAACAGAGGGCGGCAGCAGAGAGAAGAAGACCCGAGGCCTTTGCTGGGTAGGTTGGCTAACACTTTCATGTCACTGCACTAGCACCCCATGTATCACCTCTGATACATTCCATTAGGTAGCTGAGAATCACTAACATGAATAATCTAAAACAGACAACTAACCCACTCTAGAGATTCAGATCTTCGTTCTTGTACAAATAGAACCATAGAGCAGTCTGACAGTGTTATTACCATAACGTGTGTGTGTTTACTAAGTACTAATTTTTTTCATAAAGGAATTATTAAAATTTACAAAGTGAAATGCATGTGGCTGTGCACTGTGCAGATTGTATGGAATTGTGTCAGAAAATAAGGTTTAGGATATTTAAAGTACTATTTTTCTAGATATTCAAATGTTCTACTAAAGGAAAATCATTCCATTTGATTCAAGGATTCAAGTACCTCAAGTGTGACAACTGTTGGTTAAGGAAGAAATAATGATTAATAATTTGATGAGGCAATATAAGTTATCTGGAATTCAATTGTATAATCTGTGTGAAGGGAACTATCCCAGCTCAGGCTTACCTTTCTCCAGTCATTTCAGAAAAAGATCCGAGTTTTAGACAACATTTTTTTTTTTCCCCCATGTTATAAGTGTGTAACTGCATATAAAGTGCATTTATCATATATCATTTAAACTGCTTCCCCATAGGGAGGGCATGAGCAAAGAATAAAAGATATTTAGAAATAAAAAATTGCCATCAGCAGTGCCACCCATTGGCATTTTTTCTTCAGTTAGATCAACTCTCTATGAAAGGCATTTTCAATCCCAATTTTTGAATTTCCATAAAAAAAAATAATAAAAATAGTAAATAATACTACTACTACTAATAATAATAATAATAATAATGATAATGATAATAATAAAAAATAATAAAAAATTGAGGGGACTTTGCCATTGTGAATTCTTTGGGGGCAGTTTTTCAGTTTTATGTAAACTAGATTTTAATTTTTAATTTTTTTCTTCTTTAATAATTGTCATCTGACATGCCCTGTGCATTCTGATGCTATTGCGAATACAACCAACCAATTTCAAGGCACACAAAAAATTACACGACTGGATGTGCCACAACTCAAGTAAATAAAGTGCTGAGGACAGAAATTTGGACACTGCAAGAATTTATCTCTATTAAATATATATATATATATATATATATATATATAATATATATATAATATATATATATATATTTATATTATATATTAGTATATATATATATATAATATATATATATATATATAATTATATATATATTATATAATATATATATTATATATTATATATTATATATATATTATATATAAATATATATAATATATAATATAAATATATATATATATATATTACATATATATTATATATATATATATATATTATAATATATATAATATATATATATATATATATAATAATACTAATATAATATATTATATATATATATACATGTATATATATATATATATATGTATACATATATGTATATATACATATATGTGTATATACATATATGTATATATATACATATATGTATATATATACATATATGTATATATATACATATATGATATATATATACATATATGTATATATATATATATCTGTATATATAACATACAACTAATAATGTATTAATATATATATATATATATAAAATATATATTATTAATATTATATATATGTATTATATAATAATATATATCATATATATAATATATATATATATATATTATATATATATATATATATATATATATTATTATATATATATATATATATATAATATATATATATATATATATATATATATATAATATATATAAATATATATATATATATATATATATTATATATATATATATTTATTTATTATACATATACGTTTATTATTTGTATAATGTATATATGAAAAGCTCATTTAGTGTACTTTGTGATGAGATTGTTATTATTTTCATTAGGTACCATATTCTGTAAAGGTATCTTCCCCCCCCCCCCCCCCTTAGTAGATATTCCGGTCTGAAATATTAGGTAAATGCCTTAAATTATCCAGAAAACTAATCTAAACCAGATAATACTCTTTTTTTATCTGCTTGTGAAGAAACATAGGAAATTCAAGAACTCATACCTATGCGCAGTGTCATTATCAGTTGCTGTATCCAGTATACCTAGTTTACCTTTGGTGCTTATGCCCTTGATCCTCCCAAGAAATAACTCGAGTGGGCCTACCAGTTGTTTGGTTGTTTCCTCATTCATATACATATACCACAGGCGAGCTAATTCCAAATCCCCCCACCCACCCCTGCCAAGAACAGTCAATTTAAAAGGTTGTATCATTAGAGTATCATTAATGTGCAGTGTCATCAGGAGTCATTCATTCTCATAGATGACCTTCACAAAGAAAAATCAGATGCTAAAGCACCAGAATGCTATGTATTGTAGTTGGATTTTAAAAGCTTCCACAGAGGACCAGTAAATAGAAGTCACAGCATCTAAAATTTATTCCTTGTAAATATTTGTGAAAGGATTCACCATTAGCACTTCTGTAAATTGACATTATTAGAAATGTTTTAGAAAACCTTTGTACAGCACCGCTTTTCTCTGAACAGCAGTGACACTGTAAGTTGTTGAGCAGTTAGGCCAGCTGTAGAATTGCATAATCTCAAAACACCAAAGTCTAATTCTACCATGTTGCATAGGCAAATTTGATTTGTTAATTTGCCTACTCCATATCCTGGCAAGGAAAATATAGATTTTGTTAGATTTTCACCTTATTTTTGCAATTTGTAAGAGTCATGAGATGCTTGTATAATGAGGTGGTTGTATCTGATGATTTATCATTTCCAGATTCTGGATTGTGAGTTCCTCTTGGATGTTTTTTTAAGAAAGGCCTTACATACAGTGATTTATATAATCAGTCACATAAATTTAAACTTTTTTTTTAATACATACAAGAAAGTACAGGATATTTAAAGCACTATTCATTACAAATAGAAAATATAATGTTCACTATCCAATTTAGTCATATTGACATTTTAGAGAGACAGAGACAGAGTGAGTATGAGTTAGTTAGTGAGTGAGTTAGTGAGAGAGTGTGTAAATGAGAATGAGAATGATTGTGGAAGATTATATTACATGTGTGCATGCATACATGTATGTGTGCATTACTTGGATATAACAGAGACATGTTATCCTGTATACTTTAAAATGTTATTCTCCTAATATAATGTAGATGCTGTGTAAATAACTAGTTATTTGTTGCTGAGGACAAGGTCTTAACCTATAACTTCTTCAGAATAATTGCAGATTTTTCTAAATTTTCAATAACTTATATCCAAACATGTTGGCATTTAGGTGTGTTGTCATATTCTCAAAAGGCCTTTTCTTTTTTGTTATAATGACAAGAAGGTACTCCTAAGTAAATGAAAATTCTGAGACAGACTGTTGAAGGAATGAGTGAATTGGAAGATGGGAGAAAAGGAAAGAGAGAGGAGGAAATGAAAAGGGGAAAAAGTGATGTACAGACAAAAGTAACTCTAAAGAGAGAGATGGTATTTCAGGGACAATCAGATGGTTTGGTAATGGGACTGCTTGCTTATCCAGGATATGGAATACAAATGGTATTCCTGTTTGTTTTTATGATATTGAAAATTCATATTTCTGTATATAAAGGGAATGGGAGTCTAGACGGATTATAGGAAACATCATTAAATAGTCTGGCCAAATATTGGTACTGCCTTTCACAAGTTTGTTTGAGAAATTACTTATTTATGTGGGTTTGGAAGAGTTTCTGTGTTAATTTCAACCTAATGGGTAAGGACTATCAAGAGCTGTCACCAAATACCATATTTTACCCCCCCCCATCTCTCTCTCTCCTCTCTCTCCCCTTCCCTCTCTCCTCTCTCTCCCCTTCCCTCTCCCCTTTCTCTCCCCTTCCCTCTCTCCTTTCTCTCCCTTTCCCTCTCTCCCTCTCTCCCCTTCTCTCTCCTCTCTCCTCTCTCCTCCCCTCTCTCCTCTCTTCTCTCTCCTCTTTCTCTCTCCCCTCCCTCTCTCCTCTCTCTCTCCCCTCCTCTCTCCCTCCCTCCTCTCTCCCCTCCCTCCTCTCTCCCTCCTCCTCTCTCCCCTCCCTCCTCTCTCTCTCTACTCTACTCACTCTCTCTATCTCAGCTCACTCTCTCTATCTCAGCTCACTCTCTCTATCTCTACTCTCTCCTCTCTCTCTACTCTCTCCTCTCTCTCTCTCTCTCTCTCTCCCCTCTCTTCCCTCTCGTCTCTCTCTCTCTCTCTCTCTTCTCTCTCTCATCTCTCTCTCCTCTCTCTCTCTCTCCTCTCTCTCTCTCTCTCTCTCTCTCTCGTCTCTTCTCTCTCTCTCTCTCATCTTCCTCCCTCTCTCTCTCTTCCTCCCTCCTCTCTCTTCCTCCCTATCTCTCTCTTCCTTCCTCTCTCTCTCTTCCTCCCTCTCTCTCTCTTCCTCCCTCCTTCTCCTTCCTCTCTTTCTCTCTCTTCTCCTCTTTCTCCCTCCTCTTCTCTCTCTCTCTCTCTCTCTCTCTCTCTCTCTCTCTCCTCCTCTCTCCTTCTCTCTCTCTCTCCTCTCTCCTCCTCTTCTCCTTCTCCTCTCTCCTCCTCTCTCCTTCCCTTCCTCCCTCTCCTCTCCTCTCTCTTCTCTCCTCTCCTCCTTCTCTCTTCCTCCCGCTCTCTCTCTTCTTCT